TATATATATATATATATATATATATATATATTCATATGCATGAAAATTTATGTGGATTGACTAATAAAATTTCGCAAAAATTGCGTGAAACAATGCAATGTGATTGGTAGAGAAAAGCGGTATAAGAAAGGCGTAAAAATGTTCAGGTGATAACAGAAGTATCATTATTTGTGGTGGGTGATGAGAGGCCTTCGATCTGTATGGGTGGGTCATCATTAGTTGTTGTGTGCTGGTATTGGTGATCAGAAGCGGAGCATGGCAATATGGCTGTTGTTGTAGTTGGAGGATGTTGGGCTTGGATTAAATTGGGATTTGTGAACGAATTATAGGGAAAGTTGGTCGTTGATGGTGTACCATTAGCACTATCATTGGTACCGTTAGCACGTTTTGTTCGATACCAATCGCGAAAACGCGAAAATATATTGAAACATTCAGTTGTATCGACAGTGTCTGCAATATAATTGCAACGATCAAGTACTCAAAATTAATCAGTGTGCAATTTGCAGATAGCATTCAAGAAACATCTCATCAAACAAATCAATTCAGATACATAAGTAACAACCAAGTCTTATCAAATTTCTTGGTGAAAACTGTTGACGAATCTCATCGCTTGATATCTGCTGTTGAACGTTCGTTGAATCACTGTTTGCAAATGCACGCAGTGCCGAATATTCCATTTTTAAATCGCCATTGTAATGCTCCTTAACACATAACAGAAATAAATCAACGAACCAATAAAAGAGACAAGTGAATAGAAACAACAGTAACCTTAATAATCTCATATGCATCCATAATGATGGCAATGAAGAGCGATAAGACGACATATATAAACAACGAAACGAATACGTAGATATAGATTGTTCCGAAAATTTTTATCGTTGTATTTGAATCGTTGATCGTGAAGAATGTCGCAAACATATCATCGCCGTTCAACAGCGAGAATAACGCTTCCGACGATTTGCCGAGTGTTCGGAACTGATCAAGAGAATATTTTGTAAATAGTTAAGAGCTAAACAGTCATGGATTGTGGGTAATGTTATTCATGAATATTCAACTGTTGCCTCCCCACCAGTCATTCATATATAATGCAATCGCTCAACATTTCGAACCAGCTCAAAAATTCAGTTTTTTTTTCAAATAAATACGAAATTGAAAACCTCCAACTGAACGAAGTTTGATCCTCGAATGAATAAATGAAAACTGAAAAGTTTTTGCAAATCTGTTATGACAATGAAGTCCAACAAAATTCGGTCAAAAATCATTGGAATTGTAATGAATTGTTTTGAAAAACTGGCATGAATCTAGACGAGAAGAAAAGGAAGTCTGATACTTTTAAACTGTATGGACCGATAATCACCCAACCAGCGATCAGAAATCCCATATAAAGTACTGCTGCACACGACATGAAACGTAAAATATTCGGCAACGCTCGCTTCATTGTCAATATAAGAATCTGAAACGAAACCATAAAGTTTAGTTTTGTGATGACCAACAGTAACAGTAATAATGACAATATAATCGTCAATAAAAATGATGAAAATCACGTTATATTTCGAGAAGAAACAAAAATATCGAAGTACACCGACATAAACCAACAAGGCACCAATACCCAATAAAATGCCAGTTGTCGTGAATAAGTCACTGTCAAAATCCTGCAAATCTCATTTATGTAATATGAACTCGCCCATAATAGCAATAATAATAATAATAATAACGATAACAATAACAATATCATGACAAAATGACTTACTCTGAATTCAATACTGATTTTAAATACCGTTCCCAGAGCAATGCAGATGTCATTTATAACAATCATCACATACCACAAATTCAAAAATTCCAGTTCGTCACTCAGTGCTAATTTCCGCTTCAATACACATTCAAAATAATCACAAGTTGTCTAAAATTAACATTCATCTAACATAATATTATACTAATAATAACAATAATAGTAACAATAAACAATTAATACAAAATACCAAATGATAAATAAATAAACAAACCATTTTTAAAAGATGTGCACGAATGAGTGCACGACAACACAACATAAGCGATGCAATACACAGCATTAAAACTATGACGTCGATCACACCAATCACTATAGCATCTGTCGCTAAACCACCTCCTTAAGCCAATTACAAAAATAGTGACAATAATAATAAAAGCGACAATAACAGTAATAATATCAATAATCGTAACAATAATAACACACTTTAATAATATTAATAGAACAATAATATGACAATAATAAAATAATAATAATAAAATAATAATAATAACAAGAAACACCTTGCAAAATTCGACCATTACAAAGGTTCACATAACTGATTTCTGTCGACAAAGATATGAACACTTGACCAGTATGTCGCGAGTTATCAAAGGTTATTGTAACCTATTATCAACTTAGCATTAGTTCACAGATGTGACTTTTCTTTATGAAATAAGTGTTGCCAGTTTACTGCTCATAGTCAGTGAAATGGGCGATGTTTCTGCTCAAAGAAATAGGAGCAACTAACGGCAATGAGATAGCACTCAGGTCGCTGATCCGTCGACACCGGACTGAAATGAATCGTTCGTAATTTGAATTTCAATTCAGCTTTCGATATAATCAACGCATCTTCCGGCTTGAATGTTATACCACGCACACGTAAAATCTCCTCCAATGACCAGCTGTTGTTATGAACCTTTTGCACTTCTTCCTCGGTGAAATTCAGCTTGAAACATCCTGCAATTTCATGTACAAAACCAGTCACTAAATATGCCCAGAACATCGACGATTAAAAACAAGAATACAACGATAACGACAACAATGTGGAAACAAACCATCAATCTCCGAGATATCAAATTCATAAGTATCATTGAAAACAGTCACATTGGCGATACGATGAATACAAAGCTCTAAAAAGGGTATCTGATCGAAACTGATCTTATTCACCACAGCTGCTGTTTCATTCAGCGTCCTTTTTTCACGATGAATTAAAGATGTGTCATATGAAAAACTTGCGAACGATTCTTCTTGTAACATATAGTACTGAAATTCAACCACATTTCAACACCTTCTAATGCAAATATTGATCAAATCAATCGAAGATTTAACTTTAAGCTTCAAACAGTTCATAAAAACAATAGTTATGCGATGATATTGACAGCAAATCTTGAAACAACACAAGCATGAAACGACAAAGCAGATTGTTTGATCGATCTTACAGAATCGATCATGAAAGCGAATTGGTTGATGATGTCAGGTCCCGTAAAAACGGAATAACGGCCCGAAGATGGAGGATATACTAAAGCATCACGCTCATCATTCCAATCTTTCAAAAACTTGTGTCTCATCACCGTACTAGTATCATCAATAAAATCTATGTGTGACATACGCAGTTCGGCAAATAATATCAACTGAAAAGATTTCTTTGTTTATTCTATATATACAGTAGATACTGGATTATATAAACTTTCAATTGTCATTATTGCCATATACATGAACAATACACATGCATATTGCAAACATATCAAATAAGAATACAGTAATTTTAATAATACTGATGATGCTCACAATAATAATAATAATAATATTAATAATGATAACAATAACAATGTCAACACTCGAAACTAAAAATGATAACTAGCCTGTATAGTAATGAAGATAATTTTAAGAATCTGCAAGAATAACTTGAAAGGGAATTGTCTTCGAACACGCCATTTCATGAGTGGATCCATGAAAAAGAATTGCAAATGTCTTCGCAATCTCTCGCCGATATTCCTATCCTGCTCCGATAAATCCGCGAGAATATGCACATATTCGTTATCATTCACCTCACTACCGGCACAGAATCCACCTACTGACTCGGAAGCGGTCATCCAACTGAAGAATGCAACTGTTGACAGTTGAATGTGTGGAAGGAGAAAATATTGCACATGAGATATCCTCCGATAAAGACACTTATTATTTGAAAATCTTGAAACCTTGTTCCAGTTAGGTCACCTGTCGTTGTTTCACGATCCGTTGGTACTGTACGATATGTGCCTGTCGCTGATGTTGAACGTGGCCGCCTTCCTGGACGCCCAGGCATATTCTATCTGCAGGACGAGAGAAAATGATGATGATGTGAGAATCGATTTATGAATAAAACTCGATTTGGCGATACGATTCACACAACATTATATGATAATGACGATAACGAAATGTTAGGTTTGAGGGAGGGTTTTGAGAGGTTTGAGAGGCTTTCTTGGAAGGTTTGTTTCTTGATCGGTACCGCATACATTTCAACGTTGTTCTACAGTAAACGACAACAGTTCTCTTTCGCCCCTACCCTCGCTCCAGTCGTCCCAACCTAATAATATGATCACGATGAAATTTTCCATACCAATTTCTAGCAAACTGCGTATCGATTCTGCATTTACAAGCGACCAGTAAAAATAACGAAACGCTTCCACAACGATAATTAGGTTATCGCAATTGTTAGGGATGGATGCGATTTGACATAAGAACATGATGCACTGGTCACATGAAGAGCATCTGATAGTGACGGCAATTCACTGTACTTCAATCATTTACGTTTTCAGATGAACTTCTCTTTTCGAGGAGAAAAGTCTAGTCGAAATGAAATGAGATGAAAATGCCTCCCACAAATACTCTGTATCGTCTCAGTCAATCGAGATGGACCTCCCATCTTGTATCGGTCCTTTCTCGAACTTTTTCGTTTCACACCGGCATTCGAGATAATAGAATCTTCCACCTTCTTTCCTTTCGAGACGGGGTTGGCCACTGGATCATATCTGGTTTCGATATTATTTCGAGACATACACTCTCACCATACATACCAGGAACAATCAACCCATGGCTAGTAGTTTTTGTAAATGATTAACTACAACGGAGAACTTCATGCATTCATCACAATTTATGGAAACCTTAAATAATTTTCTTTTTCACAATAATTTCAATCAAATAACTTTACTTTCTAATCGAAAACAAACTAATCAAGATACATACGTAATATTCTTGCGTTTGAATGGACATTTTTGATTAAACTACAAAATATGAACAATTTTGCACGATATGTCCTCCCCACTTTCAAGTTGCTCCCAACTTTTATGGATCTTTTTACGACATAATTCCGTCACTGTTTCGTTAACAGATTCAGTTAAGTGTCTTAACCGAACAGATGTGAATGCTTGACTGACGATTACTTTATGGTGAATTCGAAAGCGAATCAAGTGTTGAGAGCGTTCATTATTGATATGCATCATCATACTTTCTCAACATTAACAGAGTCCTTTATCAAACAGGTTCTTTTCAAGGCAAGGGAGACCCCCAGCATAGGATGATGTCTCGCTGGGAGAGGGAAAAACAAGATGAAAGAGGACTGAAGTGAAAGGATGGGAATTTCCCTACACAGTTAGTTTACGTAATCAACGCCATTCGATAAGATGACACTTTAGAGATGCCCATCGCTTACTTATCTATCCAATTATCGATATCAATTGATCATCATGCCCTCTTGCGCACACATATGCACAGAAACATAAGAATAATGTTTAGTATTCCTCATTCTAAATCAAACAACAAACAAATAATTGCTATCTTTCGTCAGTGTTCCAAACAACAGTTCGTTGTTATTTTATATGATACTAATGCTAAGAATAATAATAATAGGACTCGTTATTTGGACCTGAACAATTGGTCTGCCGATGCTAGAGACCCATTCGGTTAAATGAATTGTTTATTGTTGATCCCGAAACATTACTGGCTTACTACTGTCAACTGTTTCAAATAGCTATCATTGGACGCATGTTCAATCGATTACGCGCATCGCATTTTTCGGCTCTTTCTGAGTCCCTCTCTCTAGAAATAATTGGGCAATATGTGAGAGTTGCCCTACTCGCCAAATCAATAACAGAAGTTAGGGTTTCATGAAGTCAGATGATTCCCCGCACTGTTATTGTTAGCTGCATGGAAAGATGCAAG